CGTGGCTGGAGAACCTAGCAAGAGAACATGGACACAGAACCTGGCTGGAGATCCTAACCGGAACCCCGCTGGAGATCCAGACCAGAACTTGGCAGGAGATTGTGTCTAGAGATCCTGACAAGGCTGCTGATCAACTGAACGCTGTCTCCGTGTCATTCCTTCTTCGCCGACTCCGTCCACACCTTTGGGGACCCCTGGACCTGCTGGGGTTGGACCCCAGCATACACGGATATGTTCAACAAAGACATTGGTGATCAACTTAATCATAAAATAATAGAGACATGAAATTTATACCCATTGAGTAAAATGTATAAAGACATACATTGAAGATGAAAAGTCTTCACTGTATAGTCAGTGAAATATAAAGAGAATGATACTGAGTTATAGAAAAATATGATTACAATTAGGTATATTAAAAAGAACCAGAAGGAAATACCCAACATTATCTAAACCAAAGATGACCACTTTTATAGTTCCTTATACAAGATCTTTTACATAAGTGATACTAGGCATATATATCAGCACATGTATATTTATCCATTGATTCATTTGTTTTGTTTTTAAATGTATTTTTATTGATTTCAGAGAGGAAAGGAGAGGAAGAGAGAGAAACACCAATGATGAGAGAGAATCACTGATTGGCTGCCTCTGTACACCCCTGACCGAGAATTGAACTGTGACCTCCTGGTTCATAGGCTGACGCTCAACCACTGAGCCACACCGCTGGGCTGATTCATTTGTTTTTAATTACACAAAGGATCTTATTCAGTACACATTGTGTTACTCATATCCCACTTCTGTTCATGTGTGTGTATAAAACTACATCATTTTTTTAATAGTTCCACAGTAGTCTATTTGGCTAATATCCAGTTGTTAGATTTTTCTCCCCAATAATATTCGATCAATACTGTTGTGCTATTATAACAAGTGCTGCAGTGAACATATATGTCTGGGTGACCTGTTACAAGCATGCAGAGGGGGTATCTAATAGAGACTTGGGTGGGTCTGTGCTTGTGTGTGTGTGTGTGTGTGTGTGTGTGTGTGTATATATATATATATATATATCCTCGCCCGAGTATTATGTGCACCTTTAAAGTCGGGGAGTCTTGTC